TACTAGTCGCTCCAAGTAATATAATGATGAGAAGAGTGTCGAACCCACGAGGATTGTGTCTAACTAAGTACCAAAATAATTAATCCAAATTTATTTGAACAACCAAATGGGAAGAAAGTTTAACTAAAAAAATAATAAAAGGAAAATAACAATTAAATTAAACCTAACCAAGATATGAGATACTAAAGCATTGACTTCACCATAATCAATCAATATAAATTCTGGATTACTAAATTGTTGAGTGTTATTGCATGTGATGGCGGATTTCCCTAAATTAATTAACCAGCTTTCTCAAGTTAAGCTAATCCTTCACTTATTTGTTAAATTAATCATATCTCTATGTAATTTTAAACAAACTTATGAGCATTAAATTCTATAGAAACCTCTAGCTTAAGAAGGGGGAGCTACTAACTTTCTTCTCTTCCTCCACTACCACATGTGAGCTAATTACCTCTCGGTCTCATAGTCTAGCACACGGTTTATATTATTATTGGTCTAATCTACGCAATTCTTTCTCAAGTTCATGCATAAATCACTAAATCAATTGAAAGGTGATCAGACTTCTAATGCATTAAGTTCAATAATATAAACTCCTCATACAAATAACTTTAATTGAAAATATAAAATCACAAAATCCATATTGAATTGATTAGGCTACATCGTAGCCCTAGTAGAATAAATCAGTTCATAGTAAAAAGAATAAAATATGAAATCAAAGTTATGAACATTCAAATATCAAACAATAAATAAAAACTCAAGGAAAAACAAAACCCAATTTGAGGAAATCGAACTCCTTGATCTTCTATTGTTGGAACCTCAATCTTGATCTCCAAGAGTGCCCAAAGAGGGCTGCCACCAGCCTCCCAAAGCTCTCCTCATTCTGAATTTAGATGAGTATTTATAGAATTTTAGAAACCCTAATTGAAATAGAAGTAGGACTTTGAATAGGAATAGGAAACTGAATTTTAGATGCTGATCGCGTGGTGCTGACACTTCGGATTATGTGTTGACACAAAATAGGAAACAGAATCTGATTCTGGACGTTTAGCGCATGGTGTCGACACCCCGATAATGTGTCGACACTACACCCGTGTCGGGTTTTTGGCATTCTTTTGCAATTTCTTCAATGGTAAAATGGCTGATCTGGTTCCTGACTTCTGGGTTCTGCACAAGTTGATCCTCAAGTCTTTGATCTCTTCAATTTACTTCTAAAAAGTAAGATTTCTTCCAATTAAATCCTTTCCTACACAAAGAATGAAAATCATGTAAAATTAAATAAAATCTCATAAAACTCATCCAAATATCAATAATATCAAAGTAAAAATTCCCTATTAATATGTATATAAATTTAGCTCATCAGTTTGCAAGTAACGTGGGATTCATTGGAGGGGCTTTGGTGCGGGAAGACGACATGTCATAAAAAAAAAATCCAGATCAGCACCTTTTTAAGTTGTCCCCGCCATGTCATAAAAAATAAAAAATAAAAAATGCCATGTGGCCGAGTTAACGGCCCAAATTGACAGAAGGACTAACGGAGTGCATTTTGTATAGTTGAGGAATAAAAAAAGTGCAAAAAATTGTTGAGGGACCAAATTTAGCATTTAACCTTATAAATTACATTTCAAAAAGTAAAAGGGTAGCATTGCTTGTT